GCGGGCAGCAATCTGTGCACGGGGACGTCACGGTGATCCGCGCATGGAGTCCACCTGGGGGACGCAAGCCCCACACAGCTGTTTCAGACAGCATGGGGTCCCAAGTCACCGTGTCACTCCCAGGAGAAATGCGTGGCTTGGGCGCACTGCAGGCCAGGCGCCACGGTAAGTCCCCCCACGATGTGCCATTTTGTCACCCCCCCTCCAGGATGACACCCGGGGTGGACTGCACCCCCTTCCTACACCCCTGGGCAGGGGAATGGCGCTTCCTGAAAGGTGGCTTGGCTGGTTGGCTGTAACACTGAAGAGGACCCCTTTCCACAGCATTGTGGTGGCTTATTTTTAGCTCCCTCTTAGTTTATCAACCAAATCAGGAATCAATCAAGGCTGAGCTTTATGTATGAAAGAGTGGTGATTAAAGCTATTTATGTGCACCGCCTCCATAATATTGGGATAGCAGCTGCACACATTTCTATTTCAACATTGCATATAGCTGATTAAGCCACATTTTCTCTGATTATTAAAATGTGTGACACTGGATTATGCTGATGCAAGTATATCACCGCTGATGGGGAGAATGGACCAACATGTCCTTATGTTCCAATATTTGCACTTTCTGCCTAAAGTGCTCACGCAATATGCCAATGTGTTTCTCCCGTGCTGCTGCGCAGGGAGCCTGCACTGCTGCTACTCCCCTTTCCCCAGTGGTGAACTTCAAGCAGAAAGCTTGCAGTCTTAAAGTAAACAAAGGAAAGATTCCTACAGAAAGCCTTTACAGTACTCATTGCTTGGATTCACTTTAACAAGTTTTAAAGAACAGCCATGATCAGGGTGGATTTCCTACACCTTTTTAATCAAATTAAACAAGTCTGCATCAAATACACAGATGAGAGGCTTGCAGGGAAACCTAGCCCAAACTTCCTTTGAAGAAAGGCTGGTTAAGGTTTAGCAAATATAGTAGACCTGCAATTTACAAGAATTTAACATTCAGATTTATGTGCTTGGCTTTTTTTTTTTAAGGGGGCAGAAAGTGGGGTGGGTCTCCTGACCTGATTCAGGTCTGCTGCTGACGGTACAGTGGTACCTTGGGTTAAGTACTTAATTAATTCCGGATGGTCCGTTCTTAACCTGAAACTACAGTGGTGCCCCGCAAGACGAATGCCTCGCAAGACGAAAATCCCGCTAGACGAAAGGGTTTTCCGTGTTCGATGCGCTTCGCAAGACGATTTTCCCTATGGGCTTGCTTCGCAGACGTTCCCGTCTGCGAGTCTTGCAATTTTTTTCACTCCCCCCCTTTTTCTAAGCCGCTAAGCCGCTAAATAGCCTTTTAGGCCACTAAGCCACTAGCCTTTAATAACCGCTAAGCCGCTAAACCGCTAATAGCGCTAATCCGCTAATTAGGGTTTGCTTCGCAAGACGAAAAAACCGCTAGACGAAGAGACCTCACGGACACGGATTATTTTCGTCTTGCGAGGCACCACTGTATTCTTAACTTGAAGCACCACTTAACCTGAAGTACCAGCTAATGGGGCCTCCCGCTGCTGCTGTGGCCGCCGGAGCACGATTTCTGTTCTCATCTTGAAGCAAAGTTCTTAACCCGAAAGTACTATTTCTGGGTTAGCAGAGTTTGTAACCTGAAGTGTAGTAACCTGAAGGTACCACTGTATTAACTTTTTTTTTAAAAAGCAAACGTAAGATCTCCAGTTCACTTCTCATTTGGCCCTGGATGTAAAACTTTTAAAAATTGTTTCCTTTCAGTTTCAGAATTAAAGTGACAGCTATATAATTAAACACTTAAATTAAAAAAGAGATATTTTTAAGGCAATTGCATTAAGCACTAAGTCCTAAATGCAATACAGTGGTGCCCGCAAGAACGAATGCCTCCGCAAGACGGAAAACTCGCTAGACAAAAGAGTTTTCCGTTTGGAGGTGCTTTCGCAAAACGAATTTCCTATGGGCTGCCTTCGCAAGACGACAAATGTCTTGCGAGTTCCTGCTGGTTCCCCCCCCCTTTTTCTAAGCCGCTAAGGCCGCTTATCAGCTGATCCGATCAGCAGATAAGCCACTAAAGCCGCTAATAGCCGCTAATCCTTCAATTGGCTTGCTTCGGCAAGACGAAAAAAACGCTAGACAAAGAGAATCACAGAACGCGATTCTTTTTCCGTCATTGCGAGGCACCACTGTACTTTTGACACTGGGATTTATCTAAAAACTCTGCCAGTCTAATAGTATATGTGACTGTGGTGGGAGGAAAGAATAAACACTTTCTGATTCAGAAAATAACATTCTGCATCTTCAGAAGTCACATGCAGGGGTTTGTTGTCTCTGAATTCCCATGTGGATGAACTCTAGATAGACCCATGAACACCAGCACTGGGAAGGACAACTCAGCTGTCTCTAAAGTAATGCTATGGGCTCGGTGGAAACTGTTTGCTCATGAGGCGAATTTACTCTCCTACAGGTATGTGGCTGGCTTGACATAACATATAATAAATTGCAGCAAATTTCAACAGTTCATATAACTTGCCATTGAGATTGTGCACAATGCGGCGAAGCAAGACTATGCACCATATTACAGCCCATTCCCACCCCCAACACAAAAAGAGGAGACAAATGCCTCCGTTACTAACTCCATCCACCTAGCAGTAAGCTCCATTGAGTTTAATAGGGAGTACTTCTGAGTAAGGGGACGTGGGGTGGCGCTGTGGTTAAATCACAGAGCCTAGGGCTTTCCGATCAGAAGGTGGCGGTTCAAATCTCCACGACGGGGTGAGCTCCCGTTGCTCAGTCCCTGCTCCTGCCAACCTAGCAATTCGAAAGCACATCAAAGTGTAAGTAGATAAATAGGTACCCCTTCCAAGCAGAAAGGTAAATGGCATTTCTGTGCACTGCTCTGGTTCGCCAGCAAAGTAGCTTAGTCATGCTGGCCACATGATCCGGAAGCTGTACACCGGCTCCCTCGGCAATAAAGGGAGATGAGCGCTGCAACCCCAGAGTCAGTCATGACTGGACCTAAGGTCAGGGGTCCCTTACCTTTACATTTTACTTCTGAGTAGACCTGCTTATGATGGCAGGCTTTTTCAACCAGTTCCAACCCAGTTACCTTGCTGGTTGCTCTTCCTTTCGCTGTTCTCCCCTACCATTTTCACCCTCACTACCCATCTCTTCTCCCATGCCTTCATATCCCAAATGGCTGTTTCCATCCCCACCATTGGAGAACAAACTCTGTAAATAATTCCATTCCAAAAGGGCTTGCTCCTGCATTGCTTCAGGCTGTGGCAAGTATGAAAAATTACCATATTTTCCATCTATAAGATGCACCCCATGTATAAGATGCCCCCTATTTTGGGGGGCTCAGATTTAAGAAAATGGGGGGGGGGGAGATGACCCCTTGTATAAGACGCCCCCTAATTTTTGACATTATTTTTTAGGGAAACAAACCTAGTCTTATACACGGAAAAATACGGTATGTTGTTTGCTGCCTCTTGGTCTGCCACCTGGGACACAAGCCCCCTTTTGCCTACCCCTTCGATCTGGGCCTGTCTCTCTCTCTCACACACACACATACAGTTTATTCTGAGTTCTTGGTGACAGGAGACAGCTTTTTCCCTATGCAAAAGGCCCCGCCAGGTACTTACATACTTTGTGAAACTTATGTTTTACATCGAGAAGCGTTGATGATGGTGGTATCTGAAAATTGGAGAGGAAGAAAATATGTTGTACTTGGCTTTGTCTCGTCTGTTTTTTGTTTTTTACTCTGCTTTGCTTTTGTATTTCTAACAGACCCCAAAGAAGTATTTAAGAAGATTAAAACATTTCCCTCTCAATCTGAACTGTGCCATACTCCCTGGGCACAACTGAACCAAAGTCAAGCACTTTAAGTTCCATTGTTCTCATTATTATTATTTTTTAAAAAGGACACACATCTCACAAATGCAGGCTCATGTAAATGATGTAACATCATGCACATTAAGGCATGCATGTAGATAGATGTTCAGTTCCTGTGATCCCATGAGCTGGTGTCAGAGCGGCTGAATGACTGAGCTATGAGTCAGTAAGTTCAAATTTCACCTCTATTATGCAGGGACAAGATTCCTTTAGGCCAGCAATTCTGTCAATCCTTTATAAACATACCGAGCTACAATTATGGGGTTGTTCTAAGGATTATAGGGGAAGGAATTTGCGCCTTCTAAAGTACAGTGCAAATATGTCATTATTACCCTTCTACCACAAAAAATGGCCTGAGTGCATCCACAGAAACAC